TTTATAAATTGATCAAAAAACCAGAAGGGATTATAGAATAAAGCAAGTGAAGTTGTAAATGGAAAGAAATACCAACCCAATGAACAGCATGGGAGCTGTGTTTTACTAAAGTGGCTCACTGGAATTCTGATCTTTTAACTGAACTCATGCTGGTCTCACTTGTAAATCCTAAATTAAAATAGTTTTGATTTTGCAAAACCAGTGGCATGCTGAATGGGGGCATGTTTTGGTTTCACTGAATAGATTTACGTGGATGAATGAACAGCCAGGAGATGTATATGCATGTACACTGCTTGAATTTCAGAATGTACAGGAAACCAATTTTTTTAAGGCCAATATTGATCAAATTGTATAGGAATAATATTAATAAACAATATCAATTACCACCAAGACAAGTTTGTTTGGCATCAAGGCAATTGCCTTTGATGCAATAAGTGATTTACCGTACAATTGCGAGATCTCGCGAGATGCATGAAAGATGCGCGTCGGACGTCTGCCGCAAAAATCAAACGATTTGATTTTGAACTCGAATTTCTTTATTTCGTAGCTCACATCGACCGGCCGATCTTCGACAGAGGAATATTGCTTTCGAATACCCTTACTTAATCGAAATTGTCTATCATCAAATGTGGACAGAACATTATTAAGCATGGAAATGTCCCCCAAAATACTTTCGCGTTTGTCGAATCCCACGCGATGTTTGACGCCACGACAATGCTATGACATTTGTTTGTTCTGTTTTTACGTTCGATTTCACGCATAACGCGTGATTCTCGTAATGAACGGAAAATGATCTATTGAACATCATGCAATGTATGTACATTGTAGATAGAACAGAACATTCTATGAAAATCATCAGTTCTATAAAAGTACAGCTTTGGTTTAAAACAAAAAATTATATATAGAGGGAAAAGGAAATCAGTCAAAAATACTGGATATCTTGCAGACTCTTGTACATCACAAACGAAGCACACCATACTTGATAACTTTTATACATTACAAATATTTCTTCAATAGCTAAGTTTTGTGTAGGTCGTCTGTACTTGCTTACTAGTATTTGAATAGAATACAATATTTGCTTTATTGGCACAGTGAAGATACATTGACATTTCCTTTTTGGGCTCTATGGTCAATAAAACTAAAAAGATATAAATTATCTATCGACAATTTATTCGACACAAAACTTTGTATCTACAATACAATGTACAACCACAAACTAGATTTGTTGTATACAGAATCATCAAAATATTGCCTATTTTGGCCACAGAAACACCAATGCGATTTCCATAAATGCATGCACCACTAATAGAGAAAATACAGCATATCCAATATATATTGTGCATTGAGTTTGTTCTAATTTGGTTCAAGCACTGCTGACATGACCAGCCCTGCAGGAGAGCATGTACTAATTTTAGCTTCATTAGCTGACATACACCACATACAGTTGGTTTTCTTGGGGGAGATGAAATTACACGAGCCATTAGGAGTATACTCTGTGACTCACTAGAGAGAGTATTGACCTGGTGGTATCAAGCTGGTTGGGTATAGTCTAAACACCCCCCAAGACTAGTAATACTACATTAAATACCAGAGCAATTTTTGATTCAGATGAACAACTTTATGAACCAATTCTTGCTAGAAATACTGTAAAATCTGCAGCTTCTATTAAAATGGTACAATGCAACAGAGGGGATGCGCCTTCTATTAGAGCGTCTACACATATGAGAAATGATGAACTTTTGGGTCTCAATTTTTCAAAAGGAATGGGTGCGGCTTCTATTAGTGATGCGGCTTCTAATACAGATTTAACAGTACTTTGTGTAAATGTGTGTCACTTATATTTAAATACTGAGACAACTGCAACATTTTTAAGACAGATGAACAACTTAGTAAACTAAATGTCGTTATGAACTTTCACCCTTTGAAGTGACATTTTTTCTACCTCATAACTGGTTCAACATGTTAGTGCATTTTTCAATAACAATTGTTGACATTTTAAGCTATTGTAATTCATTAATTTACATTTACAAATAGGAAGAGGTGTAGAACAAGGTTTGAAGGAGAATACCACTCAGTAGGCAACATCAGGGTAGCATCAACTTCTACTACCGTAAAATCTGTATTAGAAGCATCCCGAATAGAAATCGCACCCATTCTTTTTTTATAATAGAGAATCAAAAATTCATCATTTCTCATATGTGTACACAGATGCT